AATGTGACCAGCGAACTGTCTGTTTGTTGCCGATAGTTGGAAAAGTATGGGACAAGCGAGTATGGACTACGTCTAACCTGGACAGACGACGGGGAGCCATTTTCATACTAGATGACATTCGAAGCATTAGGAGAAGCACGGTGTGAGTAGCTACTGACTTTCCTTCCGTCACTAGCGCTGGTAGGACAGAAAAATAAGTACCCTCCGTATCACAGGCACTTAACTCCAGGAGGTGGTAAGCACGGTGTGAGTCGTTATTGAATTTCCTTCCATTGGCAATGCCGGTAGTGCACGTGGATGAGTACCCTCCATATCAAAGACGCTAAATTCCAGGAGGTGCTAGCGCTAGGGATAGACAGATTAGGGTTAATGATAGGAATGTTTGGTCTAAGCTAGTGTTAAGACCAAACTGAGGGTACGGAAATAGGTACCACCCCCAATCCCTCCGTCCAAAGTTTGGCGCAGAGCCAGAAGTAATGCGAAGAGTACATACATATTTCCTGTCCAACCATAATGCTCCATCATTTATTGAAGGATAGGCAATCTGAAAGCAGTCATTCAAAGGCAGACAGCCCTAACACCTCTAAAGTAACAATAGCTCATCTTTGCAAAAAGGGTTCCTAGGTAAGGACACAGAATGAACCCACTCTCACAAAAATACACGTAACGAACTACTCATTTTGTAAAAGTAGAGTTGCTTACTTCCAATTGTTGATCTCAGCACATATGTCGGCTGCTTCCCAGTACTTTTCCGGTCGCATACTGCGTCCCTGCCGATCCTAAGTGTATATCTTTGCTTCAGAAACCAACATAACTGAAATTTCTACCACAAAACTGCTCATTCTGAACATAGTTCAGAATATATGAGGAAGAAATGCAACGCGGGTGTGGGCTCAGTGCTTTGAGTGATGTTGTTTTGAGAACTGAGGACCACTCCTGCACAAATGCTGTTGGGTTAAGGGATTGTATTTTGAATGCAAATGTTAACTAATGGAAACCCTGCCATGCTTTCGAACAGAATCCGTGTGCACTACTTGCTGTCAAAGTTAATTCAACATTGACTGAATGCAACAATCGCTTTTGATGGCAAACCAGATAACTTAGGGTTATCACTTAGGAGACGACAGAAGTGCTTTCTCCTGCCTTAGGACCGATTTAAGTTAATGTTCCCATGTTACTACATGCAGGATTTGTGGTACAAATAAACTGCTCAATCGTCATTCCTCGCAACCTGCGACTTGCTCAGCATAGTGACTATAGCTTTGTGAATAAAAAATGGCCGGCAGCAGTTTCGACTTGCTGGGCGTAAAGGTCAAATGGAACGTCTCAACAGCATCTTCCCAGGACACACAGTTTACGATGCAGAAGGAAGAAACTAACGAGCTGGCCCTTTTGTTGTCCTTGTTTGTCGCAAAGATTGAGGTGGCCTAAAGAAAAAGTGCTCAGGAAAGCGACGAACACGATGCAAATACATAACGTCTACAGCAACCACCCAATCAGTTTAAACGCAGTTGCATGAGAACGCTATATCGGCGTGTTAAGACGCGTTGCTGTGTATTGGAAGACAAGGTTGCCCAAAATCAGTATCTTCGACGGGTTTTCAGAGAAAATGGTTACCCGCGCAAATTCGTCAACCGGTGCATGCTTAAACGAAACGAGCTACAAAATCGTACCGACCCCGAATTCATGGCGAGCGATCCCATACATCGAGAACGTCTCCGAGGCCGTTAGTCGCCTTCGGGTTGGAGTCGCACACAGACCCGAGGCCACCATAAGGCGTCAGCCGATGAGACCAAAAGACCCGCTGCCACGACAAGGAACATCAAGAGTTCTTTACCGGATGTTATGTAGTTGGAAACAGTTACGTCGAAGCAGTTGGAAGACCGCTCTGGACGCTGATCGCCGAACACGCGGCAACGAGGCCGAGAATTGACGCTAACTTTTAGGTTGCGACCCATTCGGTGAAGCCGAAGTTCTCGCGAGAGGGGGTAATTGCGTGGGTCGCGAGTTGCTTAAATCATGATTCAGGAGGCCCCAGTCTATCAACAAGTGCAATGGCATCCCCACTCCATAGTTCGTGCTGAGGCATAGTCTGGCCAAAGTAATTAACCACTCGCAGAGCACACAGACCGGTAAGCTAGGTGGCCGAGCAATCACCACGTCAGCATTTCAACAATTAACAACCTGCATGCCGACCAATAAGCCATTGGCGCATCAGCGAGCAACAATTTTTGATGAAAAAGAGAGCAGATAATTATCGTTGGTATGCAGTAACACAGCGACTACGTCCTATAAACACTGCAACTTCCTGTTCACGAATCACTAGTTTCTGTCACTGTCCCTAATGATGAGTTCAAGTGAGAATTTGAAACTTTAAACGAATAAGACCTTTGTTCCAGCGATAGCCTTCTCTTCTTACCAACGAGTTCCTGGAACTCATATTTCGCTTGCATCTACAAATAGTAACTATTGTAAAAATGACAAATGTCGCATCTTCTGAATTACGGCGAACCATTTAATCAGCTAAATTATGACAAGATGTTTAAAAATATAGGGCAGAAAGATGTGCTTAATATTTGTCGAGTTGCTAGGCAAGTATGGCAACTGGCAAGGAATATGCACAGGAAATGCATGAACTCACTGCAAGAACTGGACTCGCAGAAAATCTCGAAAATATGGATTACGACCTCTCTCAAATACTAGCTGCACTACACGAATGGAGCAAGTCTGCGATGTCAGTTCTCTACCTTGTCAAGCGTGCTTTCTCTACCTTTGATGATAACAGCATTCCTAAAGTCTTTCAGACGTTTGTGCGACCGAAATTGGAATTTGCCTTCCAATTTTGGAGGCCCTGGGCCGTGATGGACCTCAGCGTCCTCGAAAAGATTCAAATGTGCGCAACGAAACTTGTGGCAGGACAGGGTTCACTACCATATGCAACGCGGTTAGCTAACCTTGATCTCTTTACCTTCAGTTATAGGCAGTTACGGGGCGACCTGATACAAACCTTCTGTACCCTATGCAGTAAGTACTGCAGCCTCGTACCTGGCGACTTCTTTGAGTTTGCAACCACCACAAACATACGAGGTCATACATTCAAACTACTGTGAGCGGGGCCAGAGTGGACACACGAAAGTTCTTCTTCTCTAACAGAGTGCTTGAAGCTTGGGGTGTCCTGCCTCAGGATCTCGTTGTCTGCTCCGCCGAGGTCTTTAAGAAGAAGCTGGAGTTGTATAGTGGTGCCCACTAAATTACCGTCCGACCCCTGTAACCTTGACAAATCCTGTTGTTATAATACTACTTGCTATCAAAAGAAGAGGAGGCGTTCCCGGTGAACACCTCCTCTTCTTTTGATACGCCATCCGGGAATCGCATTTTCACCACTATTACTACCTGCTATATCCCAGTAGCATTCGTAATTGAATTTTTATCGTACCAAATCAATAACCTACGCTTACTGACATGTACCTATGCAACTTTTGTCACTGGGGATATTATTTTTTTCCTTACACAACGAACAACCACCGTAATACTGCTTGTACCACTAACACTCGATACGGTTCGTCTATCTGTACAGAGTTTCCAACTATTTGTTACCCTTATGATACCTTTTCCAGTTCTTGGTTATTTCAGTTGCTTTTAAACAAATAGGGAGTTTCAAGGTGAAGATCCAAAACATGTCGGAGTTAGTTTATAACTGCTCCTAAACTCTCGCAGAATAGCGTAGTCAAAACCGTCTGCGGGGGACCCGCACATTTACATTCCATGGGTCAGCCCACATACTGTATATTCACTCAGGAAATCGCACACATGGATCCATTGGGTCGCACACTATATTGTTACCTTAAAAATCTACATTAGCAAATGCAGAGGCATGATGCTTTATGAACGGGCATTTTACGCTATTAACACATCTCACAATTATAAACATTTTAAACCGAATTATATCCCTTTTTGAGTACAAAATTGGGAGAAGTAGTGATTGTCTCCAAAATGAGGGAATGAATGGATATTTTTTATGAATATGCCATATAAGTAGTCATTTTCACAGAGGTGGTTTTTGCATGCTGTCGAAAAGAAGTTCTTTCGAGAATGGGAATCCCGATGTCACTGAATTATTATAGAATAAGGCTCCACGTTCATTAATTTTACAATCCCACTTAAATAATATTTTCGAAGCAAAATTGCATTTCAGAATTTCGGTTCACATTTCAGGGGTTAGCACACATATTGTAAGTGCAGCACTCAGCGTTGGTGTGCGTAAGAATACAAATATTGAATCTAGGCAGGCTACGATTCCTACGACGTCGGGTTTTCGCTGCAACGAACTTTAAATTGGAATAAATTTTCTATCCATTGATATTTTGGCAGATTTTGAATAATTCACTAGTATTTGAAGAAGAAGAAGAAGAAGAAGAGTCGAGCACCGGAACAATTCGTTTATTATCCTGAGCTTTCAGACTCGTACAGGAGTCCATCGTCAGAGGTAGTGGCAGAAACAGGACAAGCGGCACGTAGACCCAATCATCGACCGACGTCGCACGACTGGAGGTGACTACGAAGGGCTCTGTACGCCGGCGCCAGATCGATAAATCGATTGACCGAGTTCTCATCCGAGGCCCAGGCTTCAATCAATTCTCGGCCTGTTTTGTTTCCGGCGTGGGCAACTATTTTGGTGGCTGCGAAGTCAAACTCGTGACCCATTTCGTAGGTGTGGGCGGCCACTTGTGATAATGCGTCGCCTCGCCGCACAGCCAGCTTATGTTCATGTACGCGCGATCCGAGCATGCGTCCAGTCTGTCCTGTGTAATAACAAGGACAATTTTGACACGGAATGCGATACACTACTCCAGACTGCTCTTCAGGTTTTAACCGGTCTTTGATCTTCATGACCCTGTTGCGCATGGTGGCTTTGGGGCGGTGTGCTCCGCAGCAATGCGCTCGGTCGCTTCTGAAACACCCTTGATGTATGGCAGAGAATGCCATATCGTCGGTGGCGTTTATGTTTGGGTTCTCTGGTGGCGACCGCGTAGGCAGCGACTTATGAATGCTCTCGGATAGCCATTTTGCACAAACTGGTCGCCGAGATAACGGGCCTCACGCGCTCTATCTTCCAGTTTGCTGCAATGAGTTTGGATCCGTTTGAAGAGCGTCTTCACACAGCTTCGTTTGTGAGCCACCGGATGGTTGCTGTGAAAACTGAGAAGCTGTGTGGTGTTCGTTGCCTTCCTATAAACCGTCGTTTCAAGTTCACCGTTAAGGTTTCGTCTGACGAGCACATCCAGGAAGGGCAACTGCTGCTCCTGTTCTTCTTCTCTCGTGAATTTTATATCCGGGAAGACTGCGTTGAGCAGGTTGTGAAAATGTTGCAGCATGTCCTTCTTTACGATGACGAACGTGTCGTCTACGTAACGTCGCCAAAACACCGGTTCATGTTGGAGGAAGGCAATCTTTTCCAACTCCTGTAGGACCAGTTCTGCCACCAAACCGGAGACCGGTGAGCCCATTGGGGTTCCCTTGGTTTGTTCATAGGTCTCTCCCGCAAAAGTGAAGAAAGTTTGATGGCAGAATTCAAACAGCCTCATGAGGTGTTCAATTTTGAGGGCATTCTGAGTCTCATCGTACGCCTCTTCAAGTCTCTTGCGCAAGACTTCGCGGGCCACGTTTGGTGGGATAGATGTGAATAACGACGTCACATCGAAGGAGACCATGATTTCGTCCGATTGAATTTTCCGACCTCGGAGGTCTATGAGGAATTGAGAGGCTGATCGAACTGAGGTAGTCGAATTGCCTTGGAGGAACTTCAGTTTTGAGTACATCCACTTTGCCAAATTGTAGGTGGGGCTGCCTTTTAGGGCAACGATTGGCCGAAGTGGGACATTTGCTTTATGGATTTTTGGCGGACCATAGAATCGGGCTAGAGCGGTGTCAGTTGCCCTCATTTGGTGTCATTCAGTCTCCGTGATCACATTTTTATGTCGGTATTCTCTAAGCAGTTTACTCAGCCGATCTGCCACTGCTTTGGCTTGTGACTTCTGTGCTGGTTTGTAAAATTCTCTGTCTCCAAGAATGGCTTTAGCTTTTTCATTATAATCTTCTCTATTCATCACGACGGTTGATCGTCCCTTGTCAGCAGGTAGAATGATAATGCTGTCGTCCCTCCTCAGTTCCCACATAGCCTTTGACTCACTCTGTAAAATACATTTGGTTGGTCTGTGTGTCATCAGCAAGGAGGTAACACGCTGTCGGACAGAGTGTTTCATGTCGTCGGATGTTTCACTTCTCACAAGCATAGCTTCCAGGGCTGCAATGAAGTCGACAGGATCGGCATCTGCAGTGTTGAAACACGTTTCATGCTGCAACACTCGTAGTTGCCGCTCTGTTAGCTGCTTAGACGAGAGGTTATGGGCCAAGTTTGAGCTTTCTGTGCCTGGTGGTTTTAGCTTAGTCAGTTTCCGTTCCAAAACTTCTCTCTTCTTGGATTGCCTGTGGTGTGCCAGAGCAGAGATCGTCTTCCCAAGATCTGCGGCGATAGAATCGCCGAGAGTGTGGACACACTGCCCTCTGTTCTCCTCGATCTCAGCCTTGTACTTCTGCAAACGCCGGTGACAGTCGTCGATCAGAACTCTTGTCATCTGTTTGACAAACCGCCTCACAACTTCTCTTCCCATGGCCGTATTAACGGGAGCTTTATATCTCAGGCATCGTGGGGTTAGTTCGTCTTGGAGACATCGGTGCAGAAAACGTAGCTGCTCGTATGTTGCTGCCTCTCGTGTAGAGAATAACTCCCAGCTGACGATGGACTCCTGTACGAGTCTGAAAGCTCAGGATAATAAACGAATTGTTCCGGTGCTCGACTCTTCTTCTTCTTCAAATATGTATACACCTGGAACTCGAAATTTCACCTTCATTCGTGAAACATTCGGGCGCGATGCGCTTCGGACAGCTCGCAGGTCAGGTCATAAAAGTCAAGTCATAATAGCAGCGAGGAGGGACGACAGAGGATGCGGTTGGATTGATACAGCACTGTTTCGGGCTTATTCTGCCTCCATTCAGCCAATTATAACCCTGACCACCAGCAGCTGGGACCAGAAACACAAACATGCGCGCAGACGCACCTGGCGCAGTTGGTCAACCACTGGAGTCTACAAGATGGGTCGTAATTAATTAATCCAACCGAAGCTCATCAGTGCCTCGACACCTGTCATTCTCTGTCGCTGCAAATCGGGCTATTTGTTCAATCAGCACTTGACGCACACCGATCTATTCGCTTCACGAAGAAAACAAGCTCCGTATGGGTGGCAAAGGTCACGAACAGACAACCAATTACCAGGCCAAATTCGGTCGCATCATAATAGCAGCAAGGAGGGACGACAGAGGATGCGGGTAATATCTTTTCCGGTTAAGATAAGCTAGTGGAAAAGTGGAATAATTAACGGTGGACTAATGACCGGGTCTGGGTGAAATAAGGACTCGGTGCCTAGAACACCCCGAGTTGTGATTTATCCAAATTCATGTGTCCTACTGCCTAGTGCAACGATATGAGTACAGTCCACGATGTTGCCTGCACTCAGTTACAATAGTTTAGCGTTCAAGCAGTATGTTGTGTTATGCGGGCATATACTGCCGAAGTTGTTTGGACGCCCGACATTGCTTAGTTTTTGGTTGATCAGGCCGTGAAGCCAGAGACTTCGGAGGAGTTTGCAGTGAAGGTGGATAATCTCGAGGCAGAAGGGCGTTGGACAATGAAGGTTGGTGACATGACATGAACCAGCTAACCACTGGACATCTGCACCCGCCCAATCTTTAGTCTTAGACGCGTAAAGTAGGATGGAATGCATGCCATGTGCAAATGATTAGAACAGACAGGCTGCTGTGAATTGAGAACAGGGCTAGAGTGTGTTTGGTTGGCCAAATGCAAAGAAAATGTAAAAGAAATCTTAATCTTCTGGCCGCCTGGGCGTTGTCGTAAGAAAATCTTCCCACTGACAATCAAATAGGCGTTCAGTGAATTTCAATTTTTCGCTTAAAAAAACGGTTATGTTATTCTCTCGAACGTGGCTGTCTGTAAAGTAGAAAGCACAATTCGTCTGAAGAACAGAACAGAACACGGTAAAATTGACAGGCGATTTGGATTATAACGAAAAACAAGGCATGTAAGGGGAAACAGAGTGTTCGAATTCTGATCGTGCGCGTCAATCCAAGTCGCCTGCTCTGCAAAACCAGGTGACCAGGGGTATAGGAAAACAAGCAGTACTCCCTATTGGTTTTCTATGGCAAATTTGCTTGCTAGCTGCAAATACCTAACATACACTGCCGATGAAATCGCGTTTTCATGTCTAATACGAAGCAACGGTATATGGTGCAGACACAGATTAACCCCGTTTATGATTTTAGTCTGCAATCCGTATTTTTATATCTGCTTTTCTTGGAAGACGTGTACGTTAGTGATTTTTGCTAGAATCCTTGACATGTCGAAGGATACGACAATTTGGTCGTAAAGGAGCGTTTATCGCTGAGTGTCAGCGAGGAATGAGCAATCAAGTTGATAGTGATCCCTGATCACTCTTGATGAAGGTTGAATTTTCGGGAAAGTACCTGGACTAGGCTGAAGGTGAGACTGTCTCACAGGGTGATAGTTGGCCGGAGAAGAAAGTTGTACAAGATCTAGAACTGAAGTTTCAAGACCAGCCTAAGAGGTCTGTTAAAATTGAACTTCCAATGAAACGAATCGTATTTTGTCAGTGAAAATTTTCCACATCCACTGACAGTTGCAGTTCATATTTTTGCACCAACGTTTCCTGGAAGATCTGTGCGCTGACGACTTTTGTGCCACTACTCGACCAGATTAAATCAGTTTGCCTAATTAGTTAACCTATTGTTGCCTAAGTAATGCTGTGGAAATTTAATTGAAGGTTGTCAAAATTATTCTCTGGTCATTGTACCATTCTCGGCAAGTACTTACTCCAGTTGAAAAGCTGCAATCTCGCAGTTTGTCCATAGCATGTGTGGAATACAAACAGAGGGCAGTAAAGCGAGCACAAACGTTCTCACAAATATTCTCAAACTTTCTTTTTTCTCGCATAGTTGTAAATTCAATCCGCTCTGATTTCCAAATAGCATAAATTCAAGACTTTTTGGAGGCCTTAATTAACCTCCTGGACGTGTGACACATTTCCTGAATTAATATGGCACTCTCCCCTAGGATCAGCGTGTGCTCCATTAAAGCTGACGCATTTTGTAAGATGGAGACGAGTTTTGGAATCCCAGTTTCTCAACGTGGAAAAGTAGAACGTGTTATCACCGGACTGTGATTTCAATGGACGAATGAAGGCAAATGATTCCGACTGACAAAGAACTGGGCGGGTTGCCTATATTGCTAACAACGAAACTTGTGTCTGGGCGGTGGTCGCTACCCTAGTAAACACGATTGGCTAATCTTGGTCTCTTTACTTTGAGTTACAGTCAGCTACGTAATGACTTGATGCAAGCTTTCCGCATCCTGCGGCGTTAGGACTGCTGCCTCGTATCAGGAGACTTCTTCGAGTTGGCGACTACGACTAACCTGAGAGGCCATCCACTCAAACTACATACCTGTGACTGGTGCCCGGTTAGAGACACGAAAGTTCTTCTTCTCCGGCAGAGCGGTTACAGCTTGGAATGCTTTGCCTGAGGATGTTTTTATGTCAGGATCCGTAGGCACGTTTAAACGGAGGCAAGATCAACATTGCAGCACGCACCACAATAACGCCAGACTACAGCCACCTTGACTGACGACGCAGACAAGTTAGTGTTAAGGATATGCTACTACCAACATGTAAGTAACATATGTCTATGTAATTTATTAATTATGAACAGGTCGCACACCGCTGCTCGCATTCACCATGCTTACTGTAGAGTACAAATTTTACTTCTTTTCCTGTGTCTTAAGTGTGCTTTAACTGTCTGCTGGATTTAATCAAAACCGGGTTCATATGCTTTTAAATGCTGTTGACGCATAAAATTCTGTGTTCATCTTTGCAGTTTTTGTTATTCCCCTTGTAGTTCTTCCATGCTACTTCCTTTCCATTTTCTACATATACTTCCTCTGCATGTAACCAATAGGGATTTCAAAGGTTCACCCCTACTTTCCCTGAAAAAAATTGATTCTGATACTGACCCATCTCAAATCGACAGAGAGAAAAGCTACTGAGGATTGAAGACAGTGATCTAGCGCCCTAGCTTAGCGGGTAATTAATGGAAGCAATACACTTGCTATCTCAATGATCGCGCATTCATCTCCTTTGCAACAAGCACCTGGGACTCGTACATTCGCTTCCGTGCAGTGTTAGTCTCTGCCTGCACCATATACCGTTGACCCGTATTGGACATGAAAACGCGGTTTCATCAGCAGTGTGTGATAGGTATTTTCACCTAGTGAACAACTTCGCCGTAGAAAACCAATGGGGAATGCTGCTTATTTTTCTAAATCCCTAATCACCTAGTTTTTTACAGCAGAAAAATTTGATTGTCTAATGCGATCAGAATTTGAGGAACCTGATTTTATTCACGTTCACTGTCTTTTTTATTTTAATCCATATCTTTTTGCCAATCGTAGCACTTTCTGTTTTGTTCGTCTAACAAATATGCTTCTTGCTGAATAGACAGCCATGTCTGAAGTAGGAAGCCGTTGCTTTTTCAAATCAAAATACTGAAATTGACTTAACGCTTATTTGACTGCCAGTGGAAAAATTTTCCTGCGACAACGCCCATACGGTCAGAGAATTTAGATTTCTACTTTACCATTTATGCTGTAACCCAATTAAACATTGACGCTTATTAAATCTCCTCAGAAAATAATTGCTAACTTGAAATAAATCAATTCACTTGGGGGCGCAGGATATATATATTTTTTAATGAAGTGGGCTTTTGGCTAGCACCTGCGCTGCGATGAGTACCGTAT